ATCCAATTCAACTTTTTGTATATACAGTGTGTATAAGTCGATGGGCAGATTTAAAATAGCCCACGAAATTGGATCGGCCCTAAGAATGTGGGAAGAGTTTATAGAAACTTAAAACAATGAAATTTCTGTAAACAATTACAATATCAATATTTAAATATAAGTACTATCAGCTGATAAATGCCCAGCTCGGATTCCACCAATTGCGAATGTGTCTGGAACACCTTCGATAGGTACCGTTAAACTAAAGGTCTTGCATTATACAGAACATTTCACTAACAGTCGTGCGTAAAACATGTGGAGGAAAATTTTCCAAGGTTGAATCTGCTTTAACTGTAAAACACGTCTGCTGGATCAACTTCAAGTAAAGAAGTTTGTAGGATTATTGTACAAATTATTTGAAGTTTGGCAATCTTTTTGAAACTTGGGACTGGATGCAAATGTAGAAAACAGTTCAGACTGTGTGCCAGTATTGCAAAATATTTTGCCAGTAGACAAATCCGTTCAAATTTATTTGACCACCAACAAATGCAATTTAGAAATTAGACAGATAAGCCATTTTGAGTGCTATTTTATTCTACAGAATGTGTATAAAAGTAATCACATTTGTCCTCACTGTAAATATTTCTCCAGGTCTTGTGTGTACTCAACCAAGTTCACTCGATATGAGTCAAACAGATTACAGTTTAATCAGGATCCGTTGTGTATGCGAAGCCAGCAAGCAAAACTAAATATAAAAATAAATTATTCTTCTACATGATACAGTGGATACTCCATAATTGAAAATAACATCCATTTTTAGCACTAACAACTCTGTAAAGTAAATTACAAAAGACAGAAAAACTCACGTAAAAATTCATGAATTGACTTTAATTCATGAAGTCAGTATGGATGTATGCATGAAAATAGGTAATGATGTGAGTGGAAGAGTCATTAAACATTATAGTGGACTCTTAGAGTGGAAGAGCCTTACATTATAATGTAAGGTGACGATGTTACCATTAGTCCCTGGATATTAACTCATCGATATCTTCCTTGTTGAGAGATATTCATTGCGATATGCTCATAAACATTTCCTTGTATTAGCGTTCCCTGTTTATAAGGTCACGCTCTTTATGACGTCAAATAGCGAAGCTATGTAAGCTTTGTCTTGAGCGATTAACTTCAGTCTTGGGCGAGGACCGTTGTTGTTATACATCATTGCTCCTATCCATGTCAAACAAGACAGTTGCGCTAACTCAGCGTCATATTAGAGAACGCCCCGTGGATATATTATAGACTTATTCTATAATCGTTGCGCTATCGATGTGAGGATAATATTCTATAATCGTTGCGCTATCTTCATTATCCTCAAATCATCGCTACAACCAGACCAAGCCTTAGATCTTATTTAATTACTATTCATATAAGATGTGCACAGAAAATCACATCTGAAAAAAGGAAGTTTAAAGCAAGACACTGAAGGTCACAGGAAGGACAGTAGTATGATTATAAGGAGTTTGATTTGCGTTGTTTTGCAACGGCAACGCGGAGGTGTGATGTTTGCTGCAATATTTTAATTTGGGACAGTATTCTATTCTATTCTATTCTATTCTATTCTATTCTATTCTATTCTATTCTATTCTATTCTATTCTATTCTATTCTATTCTAATTGAAACTTGTAAGAGCCCGCGAAGACTTTAGATCCATACTTCAATCCATGAAGTCAGTATGAATGTATGCGTAGAAATACTCCATGATGTGGATGAAATAGTTATTAAAATTTGTTAAGTAAGAATAACAACTTCTAGAAGAATATAATAATGTAAGGTGACGATGTTACCATTCGTCCCTGGATATTTCCTAATTGATATCTTCCTTGTTGAAAGGTAATCCCCTTCATTGCGATATGTTCATAAACATTTCCTTGTATTAGCCTTTTTTATTTATAAGGTCACGCTCTTTATGACATCAAATAGCGAAGCTATGTAAGCTTTGTCTTGAATGATTAACTTTAGTCTTGGGCGAGGACCGTTATTATTATACATCATTGCTCCTGTCCATCCATGTCAAACAAGATAGTTACGCTAACTCAACGTCATATTGTAGGATATGTTATAGACATATTAATTTTTACTTTGACTGGACACCGAAGATATAACTGCTAAAGCTCCAACATGCATATAACTCAATCTCATCCCAAACTGTAAGCCGAACTTCAGTCCTAAATACTTTTCTATAATAATCGTTTCGCTATCTTCATTATCCTCAAATCATCGCTACAACCGGACCAACCCTTGAATATTACTTAATTATTATCCATATAAGATGTGCACAGAAAAGCCCATCTGAAAATAATAAGTTTAAGGCAAGACACTGAAGGTCACAGGAAGGACAGTGGTATGAATATAAGGAGTTTGATTTGCTTTGTTGTGCAACGGCAACGCGGAGGTGTGATGTTTGCTGCAATATTTTAATTTGGGACAGTCACGAGGTACGCGGAATCGAAAGAAATGAAAAAAATTGTTTATCATTTGTCGATGTTGGCTGCTCTCTGCTTATGTAAACTTATACTTCGAAGTCACACACTCGATTTGCACGAAAATATCTCCGGTGTTTTTTTTTTGTTTTTGTTTTTGATTTTTTTTGTTGTTTTTTTTTTGGCGTTTTTTGTTCTTTGTTCGTGTGGTTTTTTGCTTATTTTTTGGCCATTTTTTTTCCGTTAATTTTTTTGGGCTTTTTGCACCAAATTGTTCATTGATTTACCGGCCCTTAGGTTTCTTCCAATTTTTTTTTCTGCATTGAGCATGCATTTCCTGTGTAATTTCCATCCAACCTGGACGATGTAATGATATTATACAATATAATGATATTATACAATCTAATGATATTATGTAATCAAAGGATATAGTATCTATGTTTGTTTTCTTGTCTGACGTAGGCGAATGTGCCAAGTTACACTAATTTCATTCATCTTAAATAAAGCTTTTGACTACTAATGATTAGGAATTTACATGATTGTCTAGAACAATTGAATAAGACGATTGTGGAGGGACGAATATGACAGACGATATAGCCACCGGCAGGATCAGGTTGAGGTATCACAGTATGGAATGATGGTAGCGCTGCCATGGTAGAAACTTCAATGAAAATCTTGTGCTTTGCGATGGTCGTACATTTTAAGGATAATCTTTAGTTTAGCGGTGTAGCTAACCTCCGTGAAGATTGTAACTTCAGTGATGGCTATAATCAAATCAAAATCATAACTATAGGAATCAAAATCATAACTGATGGTCATAACTATAGGAAGTTTCGTATACGGTTATCTTTGCTCTATAGAAAAGATCGTGTGTTATAACCTCAAGGTTATTTATGTAGGTTTTAAGCTTCTGTTTTAATAACCTCAATTTGGATCATTATGTTTTTCTCATATCCTAATTTCGTCAAAGAATCTATGGTGTCGATCGATTTGGTTCATCAATCAGACAAAGAATATTTCCTAATGTAACCAATCCAGCGTTTTTCTTTTGCATTTAGTCATTGTGTTGCACTTGCTTCTTGCTTGCAAGACAAACTTTCGGTCAAAAATGTCACGTAAAATTAAAAAGTTAATTATGAGCGTTTTTCAGAGCCCCAACCAAAGTTTATGATTGGTCTGCGTTATTTCATCATTCACCGTAATTGGAGCTGTATCAGCCTAATGAAATATTTTGTATATAATTACCAGGAGGTTTACGAAAATATTCGGTTGTTTACGGATTGTTACTGAATATTGGTTATCACTTCACTAGAATTAATCGGATAATCACTTGATTTTTAAAGTATAAATGAAAGATGTATACCTCATGAGTTTAATTTTTATGTATATTATTTACTAATTTCATGGATTAATGATGTTTGATGTGTAATTGTAATTATTTTTGTTGTCACGATTATATTTTTTTTATATACTAATGGGAAAAATTATTCACTTGATTTGCTGTGCTCGAGTGCTACAAAATATAAGATTGAAGATGCAAGTTTTTACTCCACTCCAAGCAATGGATTAAAACACTCGTTCTAATTGTACTTCAACAATATATATAAGTCCATGGATGTTTGGTTGTCATGGCTACGCAGATCGGAGTGTAACTGGGACTGCGAGTGCTGCACCCGGCAGCCGTTCAGTGCGCAGCATGACACGTAAGGTTGCGGATGCACATAGATCGTTTGGGTGTTCTCCTTTTCCACAACATTCTGATGTTGATCTTACCCGCTAATTTCAATTTAACTGATGTGATGAAATTCCTTGAACACTAGATTCCTGTGAATACTAATTTCCTGTATCGTGAAACTCCAACAAGTTTAGGTCTTGATCATAGTAGTATCTGAAATTTTGATCATAGTAGGAGTATCATGTTCATAGCTATTTAGACGTCTGGAATGATGCTTTTGTTTGAGCCTTTTTCCTGAGACTTGTAATTTTTCATTATGCATGGTAACGTAATACATACCTATGGTGTTTTTTTAATGTGTGTTAATGTATTTGTGAGGTAATAAGGTCGAGTAGATTGATTGATTGGGATGCACTAAAATTTTTATGACTTGATGCCACTAACTAATATATTAATGATATCCAAACATGACAATGTATTGGTGGTATGTTAGGAACTTGGGGTTTCGTTATCAACTTAAGAGGTGCGACTGTGTGCTTGTGACGCATCAATGACGATTGTCATCCACTTGACACATTGAACTTCACGCCGATAACGATTCCTTCGCGCCGTTTTACAAATCTGTGGCGTAGTTAACTTTCAGACGGCGTAGTTAACTTTCAGGCAAGTTCAACATAAGTTTCCATGAGACGTTGTGAGGTTTCTTGCCCATAGTCACGTTGCCCTTTAAGTATTCTTTATAAAAATCTTTCGGAGCTCGGCAGTAACGAAATTATATAAATAAGGTCATTACAGTCGTAATATTGTTGATCCATTCTGAAAGATAGTAATTTATAATGAAACTTTTTGTTTTTCTTCCATCAGATTTACCTTTATCTAAATTTTATTAGGTAGTTGTTAGCTTGGATCAGATTTATCTTCCATCGACATGGCCATTACTTGGTTTGAATGGTTTTGGCTGCCGGAAGGCCTTACCTGGTCAGATTTGGAAAAAGTCGAAGGCAGTAACTATGAAGTTAGAGATTTTATCGCCCATTCTTTTTTAACTGGAGTCCTGATGCTGATTTTTCGAAACCACATTGTTCTGCCCAGTGTCCTGCGGCCATTAGGCCTACGTCTAGGGATTCGTTCTAAGCCATATGACGCTCCTTCTCCAAACCCTGAGTTGGAAATTCTCTTTAAAATCAACAGGGCTCGGCCTCCAAGGCTGAGAATTGTAGAAACCAGTAAAATCATTGGCTGGACTGAAAGGAAAGTCGAGCGATGGCTACGACAGAAGACTTTGTCCACACAAATGACGACCTTGGAGAAGTTTGAAGAATGCGGCTGGCAATGCATATTTTACTCGTGTTTCTCGATCTTCGGACTCTACGCTGTAGCATCCAAAGAATTTTTCTGGGAACCCGAGAAAGGCTGGAAAAGTTATCCTTTCTTTTACGTCACCCACGACCTGTGGTGGTATTGTGTAATTGACTGCGGGTTTTATTTGACACAAACTTATCTCCTGTTGGTGCAGGATCGTCGACATGATTTCTACCAAATGTTGTGTCATCACATCGCCTGTTTTCTGGTGGGGGTTTCCTGTATGGCCCTACGAGCTGTCCCTCTACTGGCACTTGGAATCTTCTTGCACGAATTTGTTGACATTCCTTTGTGCATTTCCAAGATGATTCAGTATGCAGGTAGGAATGACCAAGGTGATATTTTCGCCATTATCTTCACAGTCGTATGGGTGTGCTCCCGTATCATTGCATACCCTCTCAGGGTATTGATACCTGCGTACAAAGCCACCCAAATAATCGGGACAAGCTTATGGCTGGGGCTGTTGTGGAGCCAGATATGTTCCACAGTGTTCTTCGTTTTGAATATTTTATGGACCTTTGAACTGGCAAAAGCCATAAAGAGGAAACTAACTTGTTCTGCCCATATCACCGACGGACGTTCATCGCAAGAGGAAATGTCCGAGGATGAGACCGAACGATCACGATTAGAAGAAACTAAGTTAAAAGGAATTGTGAATAGAGTTCATGCGACGCCTGACATCACATGCAGGGGTTGACTGGTGCGGAAAGCTCATCCTCTATATTATTTGAATGTATTGTAAATTTAAGAAGCCATTGAAAGTGTGAAGGTGATTGAATCTTGATGATTACTAATCGCAGCTTACTGCCTTGTATTTTCTTAGCTCAAGTTTTAATATAAACTAACCTACCGGTATATTAGGTTTAAATTTTCACCTACTACAATTGTATAGTTATGTTCTTAATACACATATTGTCAATTTGACTTCGGTATCTAAACTTCACAAGATTATTATTTCATGACCACTTTTTATTGGAATAAATTGACTGTGAAAATGTATTATTTAAATAAATACATTCACACTCTTGACTTTCAATTTTAACAAGCCTACTCAGCTTACGTTATTCAATAAATTTGATAATTATTCGAAATGTTTTACGTTATGTGAGAAAGATACATTCGAAATATTCGTTATATAAGAAAGAAATTCGATTGTATTGCGTCATCTAAATTACAATTGAGGTGGCTGTTCATTCCGGTTGAGAAAGTTTTGAAAGTTTCACAACTGACGAAAATAACGGTCAAGAACACCTCAAAACTCGGTGGTTTATAATGCATGTGCCCACGAATATTGAACTCATTAGTTTTGAAAACTGACCCAGCATTGATTAACGCACGTCGTGAATCAGGGATTGAATTAGTGAAGATCTCGAATTGGTGAAGATCTCAACTTGATGAAGATCTCAACTTGATGAAGATCTCAACTTGATGAAGATCTTGACTTGGTAAAGATCTTGACTTGATAAAGATCTTGACTTGGTAAAGACTTTGACTTGGTAAAGATCTTGACTTGGTAAAGATCTTGACTTGGTGAATATCTTAACTTGATGAAGATCTTGACTTGATGAAGATCTTAACTTGATGAAGATCTTGATCTTGACTTGGTAAAGATCTTGACTTGGTGAAGATCTTTACTTTGTAAAGATCTTGATCTTGACTAGGTAAAGATCTTGACTTGGTGAATATCTTAACTTGGTGAAGATCTTAACTTGGTGAAGATCTTAACTTGGTGAAAATCTTAACTTGATGAAGATCTTAACTTGATGAAGATCTCGATCTTGACTTGGTGAAGTTCTTGACTTGGTGAAGATCTTGACTTTGTAAAGATCTTGATCTTGACTAGGTAAAGATCTTGACTTGGTGAATATCTTAACTTGATGAAGATCTTAACTTGATGAAGATCTTAACTTGGTGAAAATCTTAACTTGATGAAGATCTTGATCTTGACTTGGTGAAGATCTTGACTTTATAAAGATCTTGATCTTGACTAGGTAAAGATCTTGACTTGGTGAATATCTTGATTTGGTGAAGATCTTGACTTGGTGAAGATTTTGACTTGGTGAAGATCTTGATCTGGTGAAGATCTTGAGTTGGTGAAGATCTTGACTTGGTGAACATCTAGATTTAGTGAACATCTTTAATCGAAATAAGTTGTTGGTAGTACTAAATTGAAGGCGAACGGTATTTCACAAGTGCTCCGCTTTTTAGCTGTGTGATGTTCAGTAGACATTTCGTAAGTAGATTCGCGCATGCCCCGTTTAAATTCAAAATAATACTTTTTTTTATTCCATTCAGTCCATTTTACTGACTGTATTTGTGGTTTTCAGTATCCAATAAAATCGAGTTTATTTCTATGGCACGAATCCACATTTTCTTTCTTTGAAAATTCAGCTTTGAAAATATTTTCCTGTAAAGTTTCATTTCTACTGCTGATTTTTTTTTCTGTCGTTTTGAAATTGTATTTTTTCACTGGTGTTTGATGGTTTCAGTTATTTTTATGAATTTTAAAAGAACGTGAGATGTCAATTATGGTCTTTGTTCAGCAATTCGTCTTCGCTTGTTTCGGGCTACCGTTGGCTCAAATTTCTCTCAGATCAAACGGCGAAATTCGCTTCGAGTTTTTCCAGGAAAAATTCAAATTGGTTCAATATAGACATACACACGTTCCATATATGAAAAGCTATGCCCTTTCTTGCACACGAATAAAATTCATGTTTACCACTTAATTCGTAGGGAGTTTCTTTTTACTAATGAACCCATTTATAAGAGGAAATTACTGCTTATGTCAATAAAATAATTCTTCGAATGAGAAAAAAGTTAGTCGATTTATTAACTAGAGCGAAGCTGATCAGAGATTGGATATGTTTCATAATATGACCCTTTTATTTGCAATGAAAACCGGTCGATGAGGCTGCATAACAATATTTAAATAAATTAGTAAAATTATACACAAGTTTTGATTATAAATTAAAATTCATACAACCTAAACCACAGATAATTCAATGTCATTCACAGGTTCAAAATCAGCCATTCAGCGCAGAACCGCTGTCAAGTCGTAGGAAGTTGAAAGTGTATCAGTAAAATTNGGATTTAAACGGGTTCAGAAAATTTATTATCTTTAGCGACCAATTTACGAGCTCAGCAGCCCTAAATTAACAGAGGTTTTAAATTTTCCTTCTTTGAAAATTCTACTTCGAAAATATTTTCCTGGAAAGTATATTCTCTACTGCTGATCTATTATTTTTTCTCGTGTTTTGAAATAGGACTCTTTAACTAGTATTTGACGGTTTCAGTAGATTTTTATTTAGTTTAAAAGCATTTGAGATGTCAATTTATGATCGTTGTTCAGCAATTCGTCTTCGCTTGTTTCGGGCTACTGTTGGCCTAAGTTTCTTTGAGATCGAACGGCGAAATTCGCTTCGAGTTTTTCCAGCAGAATTCAAACATGGTTCAATATGTTCACAAAAACCTTAATTTTGATTGAACATGAACCTCAGAATAGATAGACATACAAACATTACCTTTATGAAAAGCTATGCCCTTTTCTACACAAGAATAAAATTCACGTCTACCACTGAATTCGTAAGCAGTTTCTTTTTACTAATGAACCCATTTATTAGATGCAATTGCCGCTTATAGCAAAAAAAAAACAAATGTGCTCAGTTGACATATTGTAAGTAAAATAATTTTTATCGAGATGAATCATTACTATGATAAATGCCGTAAGTTTGACAAAAGAGTGCCTCGTACAATGACGACGTAATCAATTTATCTCCAACTCAATTATATTTTTATTAAACACCGAATTCTCTGGTGTTAATTTGAGAAACTGGTCCTTATTTCACCTTCTCAAGGCCGTAGGGGAATATTTCCATGTTTTTAGCCTGACCGCCAGAGGTATGTAATTCGTTATGGTCACGTCAGATTGACATAGACGGGGTCGCCTGCCGAAGACCACCACTGCCCTGGATGTAATGGACCATCATGATTCCTGCCTTCCGGAATGTAGCCTTCAACACTTCAAGCCGTCAGTATCTGTGCCGTGGGTCGAACCAGCCCTCGGTCGAACGGCCACTTGTCGAAGGACGATAAATTTTGGAACAGAACTATGCTATCTGAAACCTAACCTCAGATGCGGTGAACGTAAAATTACGTAATTTAACGATGCCCGGAAGTCAGATTCGATCCGCGGCCAGGTGGTGCAGGGCAGGTTCTATGCGAGGCCGGAGGAAGACAAGCCTAGTGGTTCATGGCTGATCGCTCCCCGTCACTCCAGTCTCGATGGTCCGGACTGCCTCAGTCCGAACTGAAAAGCCAGTTTTTCAATCGTCAGTCTCGCAGAGTCTCATAGTGGAAACGAGCCTTTTGCCGCTACGTCTCGCACGTCATGCAGTTGTTTCCTTATCTCGACACACGCGACGACTAGGTTATTTGGTGTCACGTCCTTTCCTGTATTCCAAATATATTACTTTGAAATATTAGTCGATCATTATCGTGACTGTTACATGTATATTAATGATCATTTATTTTTTCATTTGCGCTTTGCACGGAGATATCATTCAATATATTGGTAAAACTTTCACGCTTAGAGCGTATTAGGGAAGGAAATTCAAATATTTCATTCAGCTTTCAGAAATAGAGGGCCCAGCACAAACGTAAGTTAATTTGCGGTCAATTTAAGTAGTTCTTCCTTCCCTACATTGTCATTGTGATCAGATTCTGATATATTGTTCGTTTCTTTCCATATTTAACTATTTCTGATTCCATTGTACCGTAATTATTTTCAGATCCACTGCGTTTTGAGGTGTGATTAAACCATAAAATCCGAATGAGTCTTAATCCCTCCGCTGGCTAAGCCAAATGAAGTTAGTGGCAGCGTCAACTCTCCTGCTGGACTAAAGGAAGCCAATGGATGCAGAATGCCTCGATTTTGCCAAAGCATTTGACAGTGTTCCGCATGAGCGGCGGTTGCGTAAAGTGAAGTCTTTTTAGGAATTGAGGGAAACGTACTCCAATGGATCAGAGATTTTCTAGTAGGTAGACGACAACGTGTCAGTATTAACGAAACCGTGTCAGACTGGGCATCAGTGCGCAGTGGCGTGCCACAAGGAAGCGTTCTGGGGCCTATTTTGTTCGTTGCTTTTATAAATGATCTGCCAGTCGAAAGTAGAGTTTGGAAACGCCGTGTGGTCACCGAGACCTCAAAAGCCTAAAATTGGATAGAAGTGTTCAAAGACGTGCAGCAATGATAATTCCAGGTTTGAAGGGCAAGTTCTATGAAGAAAGATTATGAAGTCTCTGTTATCGACGCCTGCGTGGGAACCTCATCGAAATGCATAAGTATATGGTTTGCACAAAGTCCCAGAAGGATTACTAGAGTTTGAAACGAGAACCAGCATCAGGGGCCACGACTATAAACTAAAAAGCTTGCGTTTAACTCATCCTCGCGACAACATTTTTTCTCGCTTCGAATCTTCCCGCTTAGAATCCCGATTACATCGTTAACGCTCCGAGAATAAACGCATTCAAGAGCCGACTAGATAAAGCTATGGAAAATATATATGTTCAGGCTTGAAATGCCTAGCACCATATCGAACCCGGTGGATGTCTTAGTAGCTATTTCAAATATCGTCAGTCTTGAAAAGATCCAATCAAATGACATGTCTTTGGATCTTCTGTGAACAAGTCACGAAAAGTATGAGAATCGGCAACAGGCAACATAAGGCCTACTCTTCAGCGCTGGCATCGCTATGTTATGTTATGTAGCTGTACACCAATTTTATACTGCATTTGAGACCGCAGGCGGGTCCGGAGAAGTGTCGATTCTGCGAGCTGGACTCCGAATTCTGTAACGTTTTTAATGTCGATATGGTGAATTTGCTTGCCGTTTTCTTTGCTTCTAAATTCTCATTCCATCATCCATGGGTATTCCAAGTCTTACGTTACGTTTTGCACTCATCAAAAATAATTATTTCATATGGAGGC